ATTTGACTAGGGTTAGAATGCATTAACTTTATTGAGAATGAAATTCACACATATATGTAAGAAAATGTAAATGAGCCCGTGGTTATTGGATCGAGCTTATGATATAATTGTTTAATTTAGAGCGTGTTTGGTAGAGATTAAAATCGGATTAAAATTGAAAAACTAGCTGTTATTGTTGACTTTTATTTCGTTTGGTAAAGATTAAAATCCAATTAAAATTGAAAAATTAGTCGTTATTGTTGACTTTTATTATACGAGTGAGATCCAATAACGACTATATTTTCAATTTTAATTAGATTTTAATCTTACCAAACGAGCTCTAAATGAAATGTGTCATTTAATTTCACCCATCACTTCATTAACATCACATAAATTGAGATTCTAACCCAACGTAACTGCACAATATTACCACCTAAATTGAGGTCGTGACATGAGTGTGCCTAAGGCATTACTCGAGTATTTGTGGGAATCTGTTCTCTTCTTCGACTAAGCTTCGAAATCTGGTGACGGTTCATTTTCTCTTTCAGTAAGCATCAATAAACATGTGACTTCTTAAAAGCCTCGTATCTAACTCACAGCACAAACAAAGAGGAATTCAGAAAGGTAAAATTAAAAAAAAAAAAAAAATAGGAGAAAGTTATTTTTACAAATTTATAATTTTTCAAACGGAATAAGACGTGCTGGGTTTTATTTGAATACTTCATCTGAAGTTTCACACGTTAATTTTTTTTTTATTGCATGCATTGGAATTTTTTAGATTCTTCTTTCTGAATTTTGTTAAAGATGGGGATTAACAATGACATCAGTGTTTGCCTTCCCATTTTAATCATTTTATGGGTAGCTTGTGAATTTTTCCCAATTTTTTTAACCACTAATTTTATCAAAAGAACAGTTGTCCTTACCCCTTCGAGGGGGTGGAACAAGGAAACGCGGAAACCAATGGTCACGAGTTCGAATCCCTTACCAACACTTTCTCGGTCGAGCTCGTCACACCAGACTTGCTTCGTGCGGTTTACCTCTCATGCGTGGTTTGCGGACTACTGCACATAGAGTGTGATTTACCTAGTGCGCACTCATAGTAGTCGGGGCTCCATTGACGAGTAGCAGTTACGGGTTCCTACGTCAACAAAAAAGAACAGCTGTCCCTTGCAAAACACCACATAATCACCATCGACAACTTCATTCCCACAACCATTCTCTAAAAACTTTTGCTTCAATACTAAACAAAAATTTTTGCCTGCCACTAAAGAGTTTCCAGTCTGCATTGAAAATAGAAATCCAACTTTGATAGCACTCATTCTAAATTTTCGTCATTTCCATCCACTACCATATCTCATCTTCCAACGTATAAAACTCCACTAAAACCCTTTACTCAGTTAATATTCTCCAACTTCCTTTGCTGAATTCTAACATCAACCTGGTAATTTTTACTTTCAAAAAAATCATCACATATATCTTTAAATATTGAGGTTTCATTCTAAATCTTCTATTTCTAACCATCCTATACTAACCAGTTAGAATTAATTGCAGATTGAGATGGCATGAAACAACTTTACTTTTTGTTTAGTCTTAACTCCAGCAATTAAAATAGACACAATCTATATACCCCTGTAATTTTCAATCAAAACAAGTTCTTGCTTCGTGCGGTTTACCTCTCATGTGTGGTTTGGGGACTACTGCACATAGAGTGTGGTTTACCTAATGAGCACTCACAGTAGTCGGGGCTCCATTAACGAGTAGCAGTTACGGGTTCCTACGTCAACAAAAAAGAACAGCTGTCCCTTGCAAAACACTACATAATCACCATCGACAACTTCATTCCCACAACCATTCTCTAAAAACTTTTGCTTCAATACTAAACAAAAATTTTTGCCTGTCACTAAAGAGTTTCCAGTCTGCATTGAAAATAGAAATCCAACTTTGATAGCACTCATTCTAAATTTTCGTCATTTCCATCCACTACCATGTCTCATCTTCCAACATATAAAACTCCACTAAAACCCTTTACTCAGTTTATCTTCTCCAACTTCCTTTGCTGAATTCTGACATCAACCTGGTAATTTTTACTTTCAAAAAAATCATCACATATATCTTTCAATATTGAGGTTTCATTCTAAATCTTCTATTTCTAACCATCCTATACTAACCAGTTAGAATTAATTGCAGATTGAGATGGCATGAAACAACTTTACTTTTTGTTTAGTATTAACTCCAGCAATGAAAATACCCGTGGACACAATTTATATACTCCTGTAATTTTCAATCAAAACAAGTTTCATTTTCCACTGAAATCCCAAAAATCCAAAATCCAACATTATTATTTACACATTCAAAGCAGGTTTCATTGTCATTGAAATTCCACAAAACGAAAATCTAACATTATTACTTGCATTACATTACCCACTATACGTGCAACGCACGTGCATTCACTAGTATCAAAAGAAAAGTAACTCGTTAATTACCTAGTAAATAATCAAATTCACTTTTTTGCACCAGTAAAAATAATATACTATTATAACCTATAATTTTCTTGAATACAATTTTTTTCACAATATTTTCATAAAAATGAGTCAACTTAAATTAAAGAAATAAAAAAAATAAAAATTGGCAAACTAAATGAAAAAAAGTAGTACAGAAAAATATACACTAGCATGAAACCAATCTGTAAGTTAAATGACCTCTATAGAAATTTCTCCCACCACGCACCAAACATATGCATCTAAATTTAACGGGGTGTCTGGCATTGATTTTATCCAAATTAGCAGCACATTTTTGACCATTTTTCTTCAATTGCTGGCCCCCACGGCCACACGTCTCACATGTGGTTAAATGTTGCGGTTATAGGCGTGTGCAAAAGTTGAGATTTTAATTAAAATCTGCCAATTAATTGCCTTCAAACATAGCATAAATTGCTGTCACGTAACAAATTTGCTACGAGCAAAAACTATGATTCAATTATTAATTACTAAGTCTCTGTTTGGCAAATCTACTTATGATTTATAAAGACAGACAGTAAGAAAATAGCGAATCTCAAGAAATGTGCGTGGATAATGACAAGTGGTTGTTATCATGTTATGAATATAAGGTTGAAATTAATATTTGACTTATTATTTTTTTTATCAATTTCTTTTATTAAACCGTATAGGGGCCGAGTTTTGCAATAGGATGAAAACTCCCTCTAAATTTATGTCAGGTTAATTCTTTTCGTTTTCATCATTCTCGACTTTATTTTTTCTCTTTTTCTAAAGTAATTGCCGAGCTAATTTCTACGAAGTCTCTATCAACTTGTTTTTGTGGAAAAAAATTCCTGTCCATCTCAATTACGCGGCAAAAGTATTTAAAGAGTCCACGTTTACATTAGAAATGCTTTGAGTGCTATCCTTCTCTTATTGGTCGTGGAACTTTCAACTGAATATACATTTGTTGTGTATCTTTAGATTCTTTACATGCATGAGTATATTTATACCAGTCCTGTTACAGTGACATTAAGTTTGACAACTTTTTTTTATCGTGTGAGGTGGCACACTTTGTTATTTTTGATTTCAACAACACTGTATTTGTTTGATTGCATCTATTTTTCATGAAAAATGTCAATTCTTCACAAAAATTCCTAATTTTGAGTGTTTGATTGTTATTTTTTTGAATGAAAATATGACAAATTTTCAATTTTTTTACCGTGTGAGGTGGCACACTTTTTTATCTTTGATTTCAACAATACTTGGTGTGTTTGATTGCATCTATTTTTCATAAAAGAAATGTCAGTTGTTCACACAAATTCCTACTTTTGAGTGTTTGATCGTTATTTTTTTGAATGAAAATATGCCCAATTTTCATTTTTTTCAAGGAAAACATTTTATTTGGGGAGTATGTTTTTGTTTTTCTCAAAATAAAAAAAAATATTTTCTTTTTTATGAGATACCATACCAATCAAAAACACTTTTAAAATAATTCATGTCACATATTTTTACACCTCATACAATGTCAACATAAAACGTACAAATAGCATTTTCCAATTTATAGACACACGGTTTAAAAATTAAAATAAACTAACTTACATTAAACGCAACTTGACTTTAAAATATGAAGAATAATAAGCTAGAATACAAAAAAATAAAACTTTTATTATTATGTGTAGCATAATTATA